CGATGGCACTTAGTTGATGAATGGCAGCGCGCATACACCCACAAAGCAAGTTGGGATCAAGCGGTTCCAGGTGGGCATGTTCTTGATGTTGCACGTTCTAGATTAATGCTAGGAGAGTCGGTTCGCCGCGACAAGCTGCACCTTATTTCCTTATTCGTTGATATGGAGACTTTCTACGACAGGTGTCTCTTTGATGACATCATTAGTTCCGGAATCCGGCTGTCGTATCCGCCCATCATTTTACATCAAGCACTTCTGACTTACCTAGGTCCCCGTGTCGTGCAGTCTGAAGGTGCCTTATGCCCGCCTATATGGCCGGGGCGAGGTGTGCTTGCTGGTTGTCCGGCAGCACCATCGATTACCAAACTCGTTATTCATCCAATCGCTGCTAAACTTGTGATGAAGCGTAGCGTTTGTAACTTAGATGTATGGGTCGATGACCTTTCCCTTGACACAATTAACAAATCCGCTTCAAAGGTCGCCAGTGACAGTCTTGTACTGTTTCGGGGGTTGAGGCAAGATCTTGTCGCAAAAGGGGCCCAGGTTTCTGTAACAAAAACTTCTTTTGTAGCATCGTCGGCGGAGGCGGCCAAAGCCTTGAATCGGTTGCTATCGGACGACGATCCCAAGGTCAAAACAATCGCCCGGGACTTAGGGGTCTCTTCTGCTGGCGCTCGCCGTAGATTGCTTGGTCTGGCTGAGCAAAGGCGTCACAAGGCAATGCGGCGTGCAGGCAAGCTCAGCAAGCTTGGTGTTAAGTGTGTATCCCACAGAGTTCGCATCGTCCGAGCGTCAATTTGCTCTGCCGGTTTATGGGGACATCAGGCGGCTGGTGTTAGTCCCAAACGGCGCAAATGGTATCGAACCCTTTGTTCAAAACAAATCGGTCGTCAAAAGTTGGGTTCCATTGACATCACTTTCTTGCTGCATTGCCATAGATGTGAAGACCCTCACCTTACCTTGTTACGGCAGCACGTGAGGGCAGTGGCCAGAGTCTTTCGCAGATGGCAGAGTGTGGATCCAGCCAAGTTTTCCAGTACGTGGTCCAGTATCTGGCTTTGGCTTTCGGCCTCACCGCATCCTTGGAAAAAGGTCAATGGGCCCATTGCGGCCCTTCAGGCCTATTTGATGGAACTTGGTGTCCAATGCCAACAGGGTTCCACTTGGACTCATGTGTCAGGCACTTTACATGTTGACTGGACATGCCCAGATGCTACACGGTGTGTGTGGCACTGGCTTTTGCCAATTTGGGAGGGCGAGCGTTTGAAGCGGATTGCAACACTGGAGGGTTGCCATGACCTTGCATCGGGCATTGACCGCACTGTTCCATTGCGCCTTCTTAAACGTCGGTTTTTTCACAAGTCCACTCGTGTTAATTTGCAAGCCCTCTGGTTGTGTAAGTGCTCTCTTTCTTTGCAGCACGTTCTGTGGGACTGTCCCTTCACTTCCCAGAAGTTTCCAGAGCCACCGCACCTCGCCAAGAAACGTGAACTCTTTCCCTGGCCTAGTTTGTGGTTAAGAGGTTTAGTCCCCAAGGCTGCCACACAACTTGACACGCGCGGTGTGGCCACTGGCTTTGTTTACGAGGGCCTGTGGACTGGCCCCCACAGTGTCATTTCTGATGGCAATCTTGTGTATGCCAGTGATGCATCTGGTGGCCCAGGGGCCAAAGATCCAAGGTCCAGCTGTGTAGCCTGGGCCATTGCAGCATACAAACTAGTTGAAGGTGTTCCCATAAGGGTCGCCAGTGTCACGTGTTTTCCCGAACAACCTTTAACAGTTGCGTCGGCTGAGCAGCAGGCGGTTTTCGAATTGTTCTCTCGTGTTGAGAATGATTTTGACATAACGATAGACTGTAAGGCAGTCACGCACATACTCAGCAAGGCTGCCCCGCCTCTTTGTGGACAGGTTCCCTGGGGGTCTGTCTGGCACTGTCGAGAGCGGGCAAAGGTACACTGGGTCTCCAGTCACAAAACTGCAGCCTACTTTGCTGAACGTGACATTCCGGAATGGAGGCGCTTGATCAATGCCGACGTTGACGACCTTTGTGGCAAACGTGCTGCACAGGCGTTCCGAGCTTCAAGCAAACCTAGGCTCACAGAGATTGATCAAGTTTGCGAGGATGTATGCTTGCATTTAGCTCGTAAGATTGGTCATGTTCTTCTGCACAAAAAAGACAATGACTTTCCGTGGATTTTGCAACGCTGCAATAAGGAAACTAGTGAGGTTGTCCCTGAGGGTGTCCCTAGGCCCTTGGTTGTCCCTAGTGCCGCCTTTTCTAAACCCAAACCCACTAAGGCGCCGAAGTCCAGAGCTCAGCGAGCTCATGATGTTCCGGCTGCTGAGAATTCTTGTCCCAGCTCTAGTGTTGCCAAGCCCTTAAACAAAAAACAGCGCATGTTGGAAAAACTTGCAATGCCTGAGGATCCCTTGGGTCACCAGTGGATCAAAGGCGCTGAAGGCCCAACCAACTTAACGATGAAATGTGGAAAATGCGGCTTGTACGTGCAACAGATTGCTGAACAGGCCAGTTTCAATCGCCTCATGTCCCATCATTGCATTGGTGGGGGTGAGATCTTGAAAGAGTGGGGCATTCACGAATCACATACCATGGTCAACATGGGTGTGCAATGGTCATGTTCTAAATGTGGCAGGCTGCAGCGGCCACACTCAGGTGTTGGAGCTAAGCAGCTGCAAAAACCTTGTGACGGCCGTGCAGCTGTCAGCCAACTGGGCAAGGTGGCACAAGGCTCGGGTAACACCACTTTGGGCCAATCAGGTCCTGCTGTTCCCAAAACTAAAGCAGCAGTCCCTTTCGGCACCAAACGTGACGAGTCTACAGCACCAGAGGCGGGGCCCAAGCAGTCCCTCTTGGCTTTTGGGCAACCTTCCATGGTGGCGAAGCCCAAAAGCTCAGGCAAATCCAAACCTACGCCAAAACAAGCCAAGTTGTCCTTTACGTGAGCACCGTGGTTGAGATGTGCTGCTTTTGCGCCTTGCTGGCTGCATTAGCGCTGCCTTCCACTTGAGCCTGCTAAACGCTTGGTTTGCAATAGAATTAGGTGTAAGTGTAACTCTTGTTACGTGGTCACGTGTATGTGGCCTTGGCTACTGCAGCTGCTGCCTGTGCTGGCACTGTCCTTGCATGCGCTCCCATGGTGAGCAGCAGTTGGGTATCACCCGGTGGTTTGATGAATATGTGCACTTTTACCTAAGGCCACCCTGAATGCCTTCAGCTGCTACCTGTGCTGGGCATGGTTCTGGTTTTCTGGTTCGAAACTTGTCGAAAACTACGCTGGAAACTCACAAGTGATGGCGTGGGCACTTGGCGTGTTCATGCGATCACTTGTTGGCGCTGTGTACAGTCGGCGGTAGTTTGTTAGGTGTAGAGAGTGTACAAAGGCTGCTGCTGCTGGTTTTCGGCGAACTCTCTTACAGAAGTTGCCTTGCTGGCAACACCAGGTCCTCAAGCTGCACAGCTCTGCTCGTATGCAGGGCTCCTTGACCTCAGGCACACCAGTCACTTGTCACACTGGTGCAGACGTCCTTGTAAGGATTGAAATTGCAAGGTGGCTTGCCGTGCATGCCCGTTGAATTTGTCGGCTCCCACCCGCCTGCTTCGTGGTCCAGCTAGCTCACGCGTGCAACAGCAAGACTCTATGGCCTGTGGGCAGTAGAGTTTTGCTTCCGTAGCTAGGCTGTCAGATCCTTAGCTCTGCTAGTTGCTTTCTTGTACTGTTAGGCCTAGGAGCCGCGTGGACATTGCGACGCTCGGAGAAAATCCCATTTGACCTTGGATGTCCTGATGTTTTCGGCATGCCTGAAGCTGTGAGGAGTGCTTTTGAGTTAGGAAGTGACTGCACGTTCGTTTCGTCTCGTTTCGTTAGTGCTTGAAGTGTTTTGCTTGGAGACAGACAGCTGCAAGGTGTTTCACTGTCAGTCAGAGCCCGACGCGACTCCGCTTTGGCTCAAGAAAAAGACCGAGTGCTGCGCGCTCTGTTTTTCACACGTAGTGGATTAGTGGATGGTCTCTAGCCTATACTCAGGGTTTAGGATCTTGGATTGTAGCTGCTAGAGGCCACTTTCTGCTTGGAGAGTGGAAGCTCTCCGCGATCGTCTTGGGTAGCCGGGTCTGCGCAGAGACATCGAACTTGACCCTGACCAACTGTGTGTACATGTATACCACGCAGAGACATCGAACACGGGCACAAGGCGGTCAGCGCCTTGTCCCGCACATCTCCAACCTTACGTACGTAGGGCTCAGCAATGCTGGGCTGATCGATCAGAATGAAAACATCTAGCCGAGTCATGTGGAGCCCGGTAGAATCCTCTCGGATTGGGTCCGTGAGCAGGATCCAACGGTGCCCGCACTAGGAGGGGTCACAACTGTCGAACAAAACAGGCTAGCCATTCAGCAGTTCATGCACCACACCGTCACGCTGAGCTTGGTCCTTTTATTGACATTTTTACGGCCACGGCTTGCATAGAATCTACGGAGGCGGTAGATGTGTGTATCGTGGATCGAGTGGGTGAATTTACTGAGTGTGGGGAAGTAGCGCATCAGCGTCTCACGGCTGCGATAACACGAGGCACTGGACCGCTTGCCCTGCCGGGCTTGCCCGGCGGCGCTGTTTAGAGTAAACGTTTTGGGTGGGCGGGGCGGGGTGTCTCTGTGGGTAGGAGGAGTTCCCTCGACTGGACCAACTCGAAGATCTCCGCAGTTTCAAAGAGAAAAGTTTTATTGAGCAGTTTTGAGTTTCTATTTTATTTACGTATCGTGCGCTTTTCAGAATGGAGCCAGAAGCTGAGTGCGCGCACAATCTCAATGCTTATCATGGACGCAGAGCTCAGGCTCAGGAGCAGGGAAAATTTTGATTGTATGGGGCTAGCATTCACAAGCATCGTTGTGACGCATGACTGGACAGTTTAGCTTCACGGTAGCTCCATACTTTAGGACTACGAAAGCGGTAGAAGGGTGGCCCTGCGGCCCATGGTCGGCCATGAGTGGCACAGGACTCGGATGGCCCGCTTTAGTGCCACCATACCGCAACCGCCTTGAAGAGTGGTTTAGCACGCCTGAGAAATTGCATGCCTCATTCGACACGAGGGAAGAGCTTGTATCATTGCTTAGGGCTTGCGATAACACGCTTCTTGAAAGTAGCCTGCAGTTGATTGCGGATGCACTTCTTGAATGGCATGCAGACAATGCTCGCACAGTTGCGAGTGGGCGCAGGGAATCAAGGAGGCGCTTGACAGAGTGCTTGCCCAGTGTCCCGGGAACTGGCCTTAGCTTGCATGAGCATTACAATCAGATTGCACTTCAGAGTCCACTTGCGTTGCTTCCGGTTCTTCGCAAGCGGAAGTTAGCTACTGATAGGGTCGTAGATCGCGGTGCCAGGGCCACTGAGGAGATACGGCTTCGGCAGGAGTATGCATTGCGTCTTGCAGCCATCATGCAGGAGGCGCAACTGCCGGTGTGCAAGGTGCTTGCAGGGGTCAGCAATGCAGAGGAAGCTTGGCCACGGCTGTTCGGGACCCGTCGATCCAAGACATTGAGAAATCGCTTTAGAGCTTGGGACAAGTTTCGGGAATGGTTGCTTTATAGCCGTGGCAGGAGCTATCCGGAAGGGGTAGCTGATGTGCTAGATTATGCCAATGAACGATTCCAGGAAGGATGTGGAAAGACAGTTCTCGAAAGCCTGCAAGCCTCTCTCAGTGTAATTGAAGGTGTAGGGCGCGTGCCGTCTACGCAGCAGATATCTCAGGATCCCACATGGCAGGCGCAGCTCAAAAGTTACACAGCCGATTTGGTTTCGGCGGCACCGCCGGAGCAGCCAGCCAGCATGCTCACTGTTGCTATCGTTCTTGCATGTGAGATCTTCGTTTGCACGCCCGGGGAGCCTAGTTACTTGAGAGCATTGGGCTTTGTCTGCTTATTGATGGTTTGGGGATCGCTTCGGGCTGATGATGTTCAGGGGCTCTTGCCGCAGACCATGCTTCTGGACGAGCGAGGGCTTAGCATTGATCTCGCGCGGTCCAAGACTACAGGGCCCGACAAAAGGACCCACACCGTCAAGGTCTTCGTGGAACGGAGTATCTCTCTGACAGGGCATGATTGGCTGAAGGTCGGATATGCACTTTGGAAGGATTTCGATTTTGAGAGGGATTATCTGGTTTTGAAGGCCAATGAAGGTTTCACGGAACCCCTGGAGAAGTCGGTGCCTTCCTCCACGGTGGCCCTTTACTTCCGCAAAGTTCTCAGTGAGTTGAAAACGCCCAAGCGTGAGGGGCGCACATGGAAGGCCAATGATCAGCGTCCGCTGCTCCCGGGATACACTTCCAGTCATTTTACGGGACATTCTGCGAGGAACTTCCTTAGCTCGGTCGGAGCGGCCATCGATGTCGACCCCAGGGAGCTTGATTATCTGGGTCGCTGGAAGGTAGGTGGCGAAGGTTCTGCAACCTACATTCGCACTTCTAGGCAGGTTGTGCATCGTCTCCAGAGTCACATTGCTTGTTCCCTTGTCACCGGACAGCCAAAGCACTACATCGAGGTGGATTCCATCAAGGCTTTGACGGATTATGCAGCTAAGGCGGGGGAGAGCGAATCTCAGGTTCGTCGCCGTCACACCCTCCTCGAGGGATCCAAAGGCTTGGGCGGGTCGTGGCCAACTCTGGCATTGGAAGTGGGTGTTGCGGCACCACCTTCTCCAGTCGAGCAGGTTTCGATGCCAGGCAGCCGGGGGGATTACTTCATCGTTACCTCTCGCACCACAGGCCTGAGGCGTCTGCACATGTTGGGCTGCTATGTCAAGCCTGAGAATTGTTATGATGTGAAATTTGTCAGTCATGTCGGCGCGGAGGACGTCGATAACATTTGCAAAGATTGCAAAGCAAGAATGAAGGCTCAGGCCGGAGAGGAGGAATCAGACCCCTCCAGCAGTGACAGTGGGAGCGAGTCGATGTGAAGGCAAAAGATGCTTTCGACTGCTGTGGATAGGCTGTGCCCTGCAAGTCCTAGCCAGAAGTTGGCATGAGTTGCTTATGCAAGGGCGCCTTGAAGTAGATCCACGATAACAGTCCATGCTGACTTTTCTCAGGGCATCTTGAAGTTGTTTCGCGATAACAGTTCATGCTGATTAAGTGCACGTGCTGGCGCTGTTCAAGCAGGAGGAAGTCTCACTCGGCGCAGGCCGTGAGGTGCCGGCGGATTCCGCATCCTGTCACAGGCCTCAGGGCGACGGGTGGACACATCGCAGTGCAGCTAAAGGCCTCAGGGCGGCTAGCAATCCAAGTCCTACAGGGCCACAGGCCGGGGCGCGGCCTTCGCATCAGGAGTAGCGGGAGTTAGTTACTGTTGTCGCAATGGCCGCCACAGATGCCGAGAAGCGCGAGCTCATAACCAAAGCAGATAGCGATTTGCAGTTTGTGCTCGGAGAAGCTGGCTTGTCTCTGGATGCCCAGTATCGCATTGTGCAACGACACACAACACTTAGGCGATTCCAGGCAATCGCCGATTCCCGGCCGGAAGCTCGGGCTGCTGGGAAGGCGGACTTTGGTCTTGATGATGGGGCTGCTGATGGGCGACAACAAATCGCGGGGGTCGTCGCTGCATGGGAACTTGCACGCGACGTAATCAGCAAAGAGACGGAAACACGAGCAGAGGCGAAAGTGTTAGGCCAGCCGCGAATCTTGCAAGTCACAGAGAGGCAAGCAATGCTCAAGGCGGTAGCGGCCGTTCACGGGCAGCTGGGAGAGTCGGAGACTCCATCGTCTGAGTACCTCGCTCTCAAGTGCGAGGAGTGCGAAGCCAATGAGCCTCAGGCTTCAACCTTGGATGCCATAACTTCGAAGAAGAACACGCTCACCACGAGCATCCAGTCCAGCCTTGACGCTTCGGGGCGAATTCATATTACTCAGCACAAATCCAAGAGCGAGCTCCCGACTACTACAGAAGCTTATCGCAAGGTCCTTCGCGTGGAAGCTTTCACGTGGCTATGCATGGCATCCCGCTTTAAATCCAAGCAGTGGCTTCAGGATCTTAAGCTGTCTGACTTCGACCACTTCGTGAACTACATCCTTGGCGAAAAGGTCGCTCAGCTCTCAGTGCCTACGTCTCATCAGCCAGCCGATGTGCCTTCACTTTCGCCACCTTGGGAAGTAGTCTTGGCCTATGAGCACCGGTTACGCAAGGAGGCTTTCCGTCTGGTCAATGATCAGGGTTATACTCTGGCAGGCGCTCTGGCTTCAGTCATTTCTTCAGCGGAGCTTAAGGAGACCTACTTCACGACGCCGCTCGCCTTGTCCATCATTGAGCGACCACGCAAGTGGCACAAAGGCAAGGGCAAGGGCAAGGATGGCAAGGACGGAGGCAAGACAGGAAAGGGCGGCAAGGGCAAAGACTCCAAGGGGGGCAAGAACGGCAAAAGCCCCTCGGACCCGGCTCTTAAGGGCCTTCAGTTGGTTTGGCGCACGCCGGAGGGCCGCGACATTTGCTTTGCATTCAACTCGCAGGGCTGCACCAATCCTTCATGCGAACGCTTGCATGTGTGCCGGGTCAAGGGCTGTTATCAGCCCCACTCAGCGACCGAGCATAAGCTTAAGACCAGCAAGCCCAAGGAGTGACTATCGCATGATTCGGTTTCTACCATTGAGACATCAGATCACATCGCCTACCAGCCTCAGCTGTACAGTCCGAGCGGGCTTCGTGTGCTCTACATTTTCGCGGGGCCCCATCGCAAAGGTGATGTGGGCTCTTACCTTCAGTCATTGGGCAATGTCACTAATCTTCTTCAGTTCGATCTTCAGCGCTCCACGGAGCATGACTTGACTAAGGAAGGCTTGTGGCAGCACATCTTTCAATTGCTTGGCGAAGGGGATTGGATCCTCATTGCCTCTCCTCCTTGTGAGACATTTTCCAGAGTCCGGCATCGCCACCCCGGGCCAAAGCCACTACGTTCAGCATTTTATCCTAGAGGTTTTCCATGGTTAAGCAATTTGCACGCGCAGCAGGTGGAGCAGGCTAATTATTTTCTTGATCAGACCGTGACGGCATGTCAACTTGCATGGCAGTATGTCCTGGAGCACCCGGAGGATCTCGGCGCAACGCCGGATCACGAGTTACCGGCTTCCATCTGGCAGCTACCAGCTCTGCGTGAGCTCCAGGTTTCCACTCAGGCCATCACTTTTGCTTTCTTTCAATGCAGCTTTGAGGCTCCCACTTCCAAACCCACACGCCTTCTCACTAATCTACGGGCCTTTGTCGAGCAGCCTCCGCCTTTTGCTTCCTGGCCACGCTTCGACTCCAGTGATCGCTACGTGGGGCCGTTGCCGCCACGCTGCCCGCACGGGAAACATGACAAAGTACTTGCAGGCCGGGAAGGCTCCCGCTGGGCGACCGAGTCATCAGCAGCCTATCCTCCTCTGTTGTGTGAGTGGCTTGCGCATGCTGTGCTTGCTTCCGCTTCGCAGGGGGGACTTGGGTCAGCGCCGCACAGCTCCGTTCCAGGTGAGGCAGGTCCAATGCAGGAATCCCACGAGGCGACGCAGGAGGTGCATCAGGATTTATGTGAAGTGCCGCAGGGGCTGCACCAGGTGGTTTCCGATAGGGTAGAGGCGGTTACTGATAGGGTAGAGGCGGTTGGCTTGATCGAGTCGGAAGCACCTCCTTCCACTTTGTTGCCGTCGCCAGACTCTTCGGGGCCAGACTCTTCGGGGCAACCGCAGCCGAAGGCAGCACCTAGGGGGGTTAAGAAACAAGTTGAAGCCGAGGAGTTCGCACGCATCATTTCTTCATCGAGAGCCCCGACTCGGGCCGAGGTCCATGCTCTCTTCAAACTGCTGCCGCATGAGACTCCGCCTAGGTCGGCGGTGTCCTCTAATTGGGTTCCTAGCAGCTTTTCGACAGGCTTGTACCGGAAGGGTGGAGGCCTGATCGGGCTCAGGTCCGCGTGCAAAGGCTTCCCGGCTTCCACAGAAGCTTTGGCATCCTTCGTGCGTAGCAACATGCCCGGGCACCCCTTTACCACGATTAGCCTTTACCTTAACACTGGCACCAAGCCCCACAAAGACTCCAGGAACGCACCTTTGCCCAATGGGATAATAGGGGTTACTGACTTCGTAGGAGGAGAGATCTGGGTCGAGGCCCAGGATGGGGAGTCTGTTCAGATTGTTGACGGTAAGCGCTTAAGTGGTCACCTTCTTCCGATCAGTGAGACACCCACCTACATACATGCCTACCGCGATCTTCACCTCACAATGCCCTGGAAAGGTAAGAGATTAGTCATCATAGCTTTCAGTGTATCGGAGCATACTCAGGCATGCGATGAGGCTCTCGCGTTTCTTCGCGGGCATGGTTTCGTCCTTCCGGGCGAAGAGCACAGTGTTGATCTTGAGGCGGTCCAGTCAGATGATTCGGAGGTGCTGGAGGGGGGGTGAGGTCGAAAGGCCGGAGCCCTTCAAGCATCAGGAGTGCCACAACATCGGGCTGCCTTTGAACCTCGAGTGGGATGGCAAAACTCAGCCGATCACGGATGGCTTTGGACTCTGCTCACCCACTAGATGGCCTCCGGAAGCCAGGGGGGGCCTGCTGCCCAAGCAGGCTTTGGAGTTCGCCACTGCCATGCATCAAGTGCTTCGAGACTTTGTAGCGGACGTTGTGCCTGATATCAAGCGCACGGCGATGGAGCTTGCGCTAGGCCGCCTTAAGGAATCGCCTTTCACTCCCGAGATGTTAGGGGTCCTTAGGAAGGATTGGTTTAGTTGCATAGAGGTTGCTTCGGGAGGCAAGTGTACGGATCTTGATGTGGTGCCGAGTGGCCAGCCATTCTTCTTGCATGCTGTGTCTGCGACGGCTCGGCTGTTGCAGGACCCAGATTGGAAAGCCGTTTCTTGCCAGGAGGACTCCTATGTCAGCGGGGTCGCGATCGGTTATGACTGCCCCGCGCCTCACTTGCCACAGGTGTACGAGTACAAACACAAGTCCCGCAAGCTCGATGAATCGGATGCCGAGTGGCATCGCGAGAACTATTCGTCGGCAAACGAAACATCGGATCAGCTTGAGAAGAAGTTTGCAGAGGAAGAGGCTCTTGGTCGCATGGCGCCTTCCACGTTGCCGGTTCTTGAGCAAAAGTACGGGCGGGATAGGGTTAGGATAGCTTCTTTAGGTTCCTTGATTAAACCAGACGGTTCCGCTCGGCCATTACACGATGGCACCCACGGTGTGCATGTCAACAATGGTATTAGGCTACTTAATCAGCAATCCAATCCCGGACCCCAGGAGGTAGTTCACCTTGTGCGCAGCGCAAAGCAAAGTCAGGAGGCCACCTTTTGCCTCACCGGCGATGTGACGGCGGCTCACAGGTTGTTCCTTGTCAGAGAGGCCGACTGGCCTTTGTTGTGCTGTAAGGTGCGCAACGACACGCCGGTCGTTTGGTACAACAAAGTAGGAACGTTCGGTATATCATCATCCGCCTTCCTTTGGTCCAGATTGTTTGGAATCATCGGCCGCTGCACCGCGCGCTTTCTTTTGACATTGTGGTTCTATCACCTCGTCTTCGTAGATGATGTTCACGCCAACTTCGCAGGAAGGGAGAAATTTCATCATTTGCTCATGTGGCTAGCATGCTTCGAGATGTTTGGCACACCTTTCGCATACAAGAAGTTCCGCGGTGGGCTCACTTCGGCTTTTGTGGGTTACGAACTTTCTTATCCAGACCAGAGGGTCGGAATTTCCGAATCGCGGGGCCAGTGGCTCTTGAAATGGATCGCTGAGGCTCGGTCCTCGAAGTTTGTTGTTTCGGTTCGCAGGTTTGCTGAGTTCTTAGGGAGGCTGGGCTTCGTCGCTCGGCTTTTGGTTTGGCTTAAGGCACACCTTGCACCGCTTTACAGCTGGAGGGCAGCGGTGAACGACAGTTCAGTCGCTCGGATGCCCGACACCGTCATCCTTACTCTTGAATATCTTGACCTCACGTTCAGGGACATGACGTTCAAGGTCGCCGCAGCAAGATCGGTCAAAAGAGAAGGCGTGGCCTTCCGCACTGATGCAAAGTGCGCGGACGGGTACGTGGTCCTTGGGGGTTGGGATTGCGCAGGCACAACTCAGGAGTCCAGATGGTTCTCACTTCGACTTACTCCCTCAGAGGCCCCTTACCTCTTCGACTCAGAAGGTCACAGTCAGTGGGCTTCGGCATCGGCTGAATTGCTGGCCACGCTGGCTGCACTGCACATCTTCGGTCACCTTGAAGCCGGGCCAACTAGGCGTTTGATGAAGGTTGAGGTTCTAGCTCAGACGGATAATAAGTCTAACGAGGGCTTGACTCGCAAGGGTTCTACAACGCGCTGGCCCTTGCTCATGGTTAACATGCAGCTCACCCATGTTCTCATGAAGGCCGGCTTGCGGTTGAACTTGGGATGGCGTCCACGGGACGAAAATCAGGAGGCCGATGATTTAACCAACGAAATCTTCGACCGTTTCTCTGAGGAGTTGCGGGTCCCAGTGCAGTACTCCGAATTGCCGCTTTCCTTTCTTCACACTCTTTACGAAGCCAGGCGTGCACAGCTGAGCAGCCGTGAAGTGGATTCCATCCGCGACACGGTCGGTGGCAGGCCACGCTTCAGAGGCAAGAGAAAGAGAGAGAAGTCTCCTTGGTGACGTGCCGGCCTGCGGAAGGGGGGGCACAGGCACACAGGTGCGCCTTCCCGACACGTCAAAGACCTGTTCAAGAATTAGATGCCTGCGTGAGCCTGCCGCCATCCGTTTGAAAACATCCTGCGTGCTCCTTTCGGCAGTTGCTATCTCTTTAGATATTCAGAATTAAGTGGCGAGGATACATTTGATTGGAGTCCCAAGAGGCGAAAGCAAGATATGAGAATTTATACCCCATATATTCTCTGGGGATACCGTCGGTGCATTTATACCTTCGCCGATATTTCCGTTTGCCCAATATATCTTCTGGGCAATAAAATTTCTGATGAGGGAACTGAGTTTTGTAAACTTCGCTCACAGCGCCCTTCCTAAACACAACGGTTACGGAGAACAGCTCATTGTCTCGCCAGCGCATGCTTCCGGGCTGCTTGCCGCAGCGCACATGCATGCCAGGCTACATGGCTCGGAAATGCAGGCAAACCTTTCGTGACAACATGGGATTGCCACCTGGGCGATGTGATCAGGGAATTCCATCGACGATGGCACACCCACGACTATACCCACCGCTCACGGAAGCGACCGCCCTATTAGTTGCTGTCTTTGATGAGAGCTCAGGCCGGCACCGGGCGCAGCTACATTTACGGGGCGCGGACAGGTATCAGGCGGGGAGGCGTGGGGAGCCGCGCGTGTCCCGTCGCTTCTTCCCAATCTTCGATACCGAGGACTCTGGTCACCCTGGATATGGACACATCCTGTTCTCTCTCTCTCTCTCTCTCTCTCTCTCTCTCTCTCTCTCTCTCTCTCTCTCTCTCTCTCTCTCTCTCTCTCTCTCTCTCTCTCTCTCTCTCTCTACAGGCTTCAGGAGTGCCAAGGACACGGAGCCGAGCCCTGGCGGGCGCCTCTATGCAAAGCGAGATCGGGAACCGAGTTACTAAAATGACAGTGGACAGCCATGACGTGAAGTGGTCGGTTGTCTCGCTTCCTGGCTGCTTCTATCTGGCGCAAATTGCCACAGATCACACTACGCAGGAGTTTATGCGCTTTCTTCGTCAGCGTCTGAGTGTACTTTGGCGCTGCTGCTGATGTGACCTCCTTCCGCTTCGGAGATGATAGCACACTACTTGAAGGATCGTGTTGTTTAGTATCCGAATGGGCGGGTTGCGGTGGTTAGTAAAGCCTGCAAGTGAACTTATAATCGGGCTATCTTGACTTATAAGTGTACCATGTTGGGTAAGTGTGTTTTTGAACTTAGTAAGTGAGCGAGGGTGGTTATAAGTAGTTGTTTGAGTTAATAAGCACTTAGCACATTTATAAGTGACTTGGGACAAATGCTGTAAGTGGAAGATAAGTACTTGGACACGGTTATATCGGTTATCTAAGTCATTTATAAGTACTTATATAAGTACCCTAACTTCATCGGGGCAAAGCATTTGCAGGTCGGTGCAGCTGGTGGTTGCCGACGTCGACGGCATCGAAAGGTGCTTCCGCCCCCCGCTTCTTTGCAAGTGATGAGTTCAGTGTTCCGAGCATGTTTGGCCATGTCGAGACTCCCATCATGAGAGACATGCAGTGATGCTTGCAGCTTTCATGCAGTGTTTGCATGTATGTGTATACACTTGCAGTCTTTGCATCACGTGTACATGCAGTGGTATACGATGCCCTGCATGTGTATATAGGAAGTCGTCGTGCAGGGCAATTTGCTCGCCGGCAGGCTGTCACGACATTCTTGCATGACTTTCAAACTGACAGTTCATATCTGCATGCAGCATCTTGGCTGTGACAGCACTCACTGCACACACACACCGACCGCTTCCGAAACACAGCATGGCTTTGTCTGCTGATCTCGTTGCGGACATCTCGTTCAAGCTGCAACAGGTGCAAGAAGGCGATCGACTTGTAAAGACGGTGCATGCGGCTATCAGCCAGCTTGAGTCGCAGGGCCACGTCTACACGATGCAGCTTCAACCGACCATGGTCGGGATCAGTTCCCAGAACCGCGACGGGAGCGGGATTAATCCCGTAGATGTCCACGATCTTCTGGGCGACATAGTTCAAGCCGGCTGGCTTGATGCCAGGGTCCAGGCCATCGCCCATGAGCCAACTGGGCAAGAGGACATCGATTGGAATGTCCGTCTCTTCCAAAGCATGCATGATCGCTGTGGGCCCCTGGAGCCCACGATGATCAAAGCACTCTCCCTGGCAGGGTCACACACAAACTCGGTCTTGCGGTGCTTCCACTATGAGGTCATGCATGAAGGAGACGAGACCGTGTGTCATGATGGAAGACTCAGCATGGAGCTGCTTCGGAAGCACGATCCGGACTTCGCGAGGGCGGTTCGCGAAGGAGTCGTTTGGAAGATCTTGTCAAAGCACGTCGCTGCCCAGCTGCCGCAGCTGTTGGGACTTGTCCAAAGGATGGGAAACGCCACACTTCACCGTGGCGAACACGAGCTCCAACTGATGAGACGGCTGCATCAGACTTGGGTCCAGATGAGCTCTCAGGGTTCTGTGGACGTCCTGGCACTGAAGAGCAAAGTCACCACGGGGAAGTCCGTGCATGGCAAGTCCATGCCGCATCTTTACAGTTTCGTGTTGAAGACTGCGGGTGGCACAGATCCGTTCTTGCTCAGCACACGTTCATTGGGACCTGGTTTCTGGGAGAAGGTCAGTGCCGATGTCAAAGGTTCCAACCAATTCCCACGGTTCCGGCATGCCATGGCCACTTGATTCATACAAGCATGCATGCATGTACAGGTCACATATGGGATTGCAAGGCCGAGGTTGCTAGTTGTTGTTGTTGTTGCTGCTGCTCTTAGGTGAAGCTTGCATACTGCAAAGAAGCTGTGGGGTCTGCCGAGTGCAAGAAGATGTTGCACAAGGATTCAACGGCCTCTGTCAAGGAGGCAGACACCATCATGAGCACGTGGCGAAAGCTTGTGACGGCCCTGCCGGATGGTGCAGAGCTTCTCATGAAACCCGAAGTGCAGACCTGCTTGTCCTATGGGGACATGTCCTTGGCTGCCTTCACCCTGAATGTGATGTTGCCCGGTGAAGACTTGAAGAAGTATAAGACAAGCCAATCCCTCGCCCATGACCTCGTCCTGATTTTGGAAGGCATCCTCAAAACAGACCTGAATGGGCCCTGGGCGGCACACAAGGTCGCAGATTCGGGTGAGGCATCGGGTTCCAAACAGGTGGGAGCACCCATGGCCATCATGAGGGAGCTGAGCTCCGACGGCTCGGTGAAGGATTCAGCGGTGATGATGGCCGAGTCCGGCTTTTCAGTCGGCCAATATGTCCGTCGCAAGGCGGATCAGGAAACTGGCCAGGTGACGGCGATCGAGCTTGGCCGTGTCAAGCTGAAGCAGCCCTCGGGGTCCGTAGTGCGGGTGTCGATCGACAGCTTTCTCGCAGGCCACTGGCAGGTCTACACACCCAAGCCGGAACCCCAGACGGTGGATGACTTGTCAGTGTATTCGCCTTTGAACTTCCCCGAATACGAGCGACAGATGCTGTTGGCATGCTTGTACATGGACATGCATGAGCTCATGCAAAAGCACGACACGAATCCCATGCTGCAGAAGCTCAGGGTCACTTTGAAGCCTCGTAAGTCAGTCCAAGCCACGGCATTCATCCCGAAAAACAAGCTCATCATGGTCCCCATGGGTTTGACGATCAAGCACGGTCAGAAGAAGCCCGAGGATGCGATTTTCGATATCATCACCCCCATGAGTGACTACTTCTTCTGGATTGTTTCGTTCATTCAGATTCCGAAAGCCGAAGGGGATGCTGGCTTCATCAATCCTGCATTCCTTGTGCAGCCGCTTCCCGTGAGTGACACTTGGAATTGCGAGGTTTCGCATGTCAAGTCCAATCGAGACAAGAAGGTTCAACTCCCCATCCTCAAGAACACCCTGGACCTGCAGCAGGACGATGTGCTGTATATGCCAAAGGCCGAGAAGACTGTGCACGTCGAGGCCTTGCAGGTTGACACCCCGCCAAGGAAGCGAATCTGCTCCAAGAAGCCGGGAGACTCCTGAAGCCCGAGTGTGATGCATCCCATGCCATTTTGTGTGCAGCTGTCCGAGAGAGCTCACGGGCACTTCCTCCATTGCTTTGAACCATGCAGCAGCTGTGCTGCCCACCACGATCCATGCACATGAAAGAACATGCACTTGCAGCCTGCAGGAAAGATGCCCGAGCCCGTGTATGTGTGCAAGTGTGCATGACTGCGAGCACGATTGCATGTAAAAGCGCCAAAAGCCATGGCATTCATGATTGCATGTCATTCACGAAGTTTTGCAGCTCCAGCTTCATCCGTGATTTCGTAGCTTTGCCAGCATGGAGCAGGAAGATGAGGAGATGACCGCACCCACGGTGGTGACAAAACAGATCGTCACATACGGGTCAGGGCTCACTTGGATCCCGGAACAAAAGACGGCCGAGGGAGTCACATGGTTCAAAGTGAGCAAGTGGGATCGAGGATTGTTTCGGTTCGTGTACGGCAAGGGCTTGGATCTGAGGAAGAATACGGACAATCAAAACTTGTCACTCGACACACCTTTCTTCGAGAACATGTTGGCCCGTCGCCAAGAAGCATTCAACGAGGCTATCTCCGAAAGACTCAAGGATGAAGAGAATGACGAAGCCCCACAGCCGGAGAAGGCCCAGAAGAAGACCAAGAAAACCAAGGAGTTCAAAGCTACACAGAAGCATGACATTTATGCACCCCACAGCATTCAGATTGACTTGCCCGGCGAGGCCGAGGATGGCAACAAGGTCCAATGCCGAACTTTGTTCGAGGGGGTGGGCACTCGGACTATGTGGCTGGAACTGAAGGACGATGTCGTGAAGCACATCCAGACCAGCTTCAAGCATTCTGAGGCCAAGCCACGAAAGACGATCAAGCCTAAAAGGGCCAAGGCCTGCAGGAAGTAGGTTTTCGTCAGCAGGGCAATTTGCTCGTTGGCAGGAACATATATACATGTGTGCACATATCGCATAATTTTCTCTCGCTGGCATGCAGGAACTTCATGTGCCAAATATGCCGGTTGCTGCAAGTGCTTGCTTCCTCGTGGTGCTCGGTTCTGTGCACGTGCATCGGTCTCCTCATGTATCGGTTGCGACATGTGGCTCAGGCTTCGAGCTTTTTTCGTGTGCAGCTGTAGCCTGTAGACCATGTCGTGCACGGGTTATAGCTGCATGATCAGCCCTGATGTGGCGGAGGCCTGGTTCCTGTCTCCCATGCAACCAAAAAGATGTGTGTGCTGGTCAGGACTCACCGCAATGGTGGGCCTTTGATCGGTGCGGGCTCCTGGAGGTGTTGCTGCCGAACGAGGACAGTTCCCTTATAAGGCCCTTTAAACCAAAAAGGGCATCCTTTTTTATTCCATGCAGGACGCCACATGGAGCAACAGCTCAGCCATCCTCGGTTGGCACAAGCAGAAGAAGAAGTGGAGAATCCTCGACATGTTAGGCCGGGGATGTGCCATTGTCCCACATTTTCATCGTCTCTCCTCTGCAGGCAACCTCCTCTACAAGCACGAGAGCCGCGAGGAGACACCCCCGACCGAAGGCATGCAGGTTTTTACAGGGTTGTGTTTTCAAGGGTTTCGGGTTTTGTAGAGTTTAGGGTATATACGGGTTCATGGTTTCTGGTTTATATAATATATGATGTTATATATTATATCTATATAATGCAGGTGTGCAGCATGTGTACACAGAAAAGGCGCTCAGGTTCCTAACTTTTACATATTTGTGTTTATACATATATACATACATACATGCATACATACATACATTTATACATACACACACATCTGTATACACATGTATGTGTGTATGTATGTATGTATGTATGTATGTATGTATGTATGTATGTATGTATGTATGTGCGAGACATATATATATATATATATATGTATATATATGCCCATACATATATATATATATATATATACACATACATATATGTTATAAACTATATATACACACTATACAGCACAACCACAAAGGCCAAAAGCCTTCAATTTAACATGAAAACCCCCAACCCCGAGCCTATTTGTGCTATCTCAGTCTCGGCAGGTTGGCTGTGCCAGGATTGGGAGGGCACGTGGTGCCCTGCTGAGCTTGTGCTCCAGGCCCGGGCCTATAGAGCAAAGAAGTGAACTTCATGTGTGTTTCGATCTGGTGTGAGGAGATCGATGCCCAGGACTACGAGGTGATGAAGAAGGAAAAGGAGCCGGATCGGCCAAAGGTACTGCACTCAGTGCCCAGGTTGAACGATGTGAGTTGTAGTTGCACTTTCAAAACAACCAGGAAGAAGACGACGAGATGGAGGAGGTTACATGTGAGGAGCCCGACAAGAAGGACAGTGTCGCTGTGTTCGTGGTCTTGCATTTAAAATAACGACTTCGGGAGGAATGGATGCCTCCTAAGCCGAAGAAGCGGCCGAGGGAGATCCCGGTCAAGGCGAAGATTGCATGTGTGTTGCGGTGTACAAAACATGTTGTGTATGGCAGGCTTGCAAGAAGCCGGCCGAGCCCAAGGAGCCGCCGCCGAAATCCAAGAAGGCCTCTTGTTTTCTTGAGATGGGCGGGGGGGGGCCTTGTCACTGCCTGCTTGCCAGGGCAAAATGCCATGGATCCCACCGCCACCCCCGGCTCCAGCCGCCAAGGAGGGGTCTGCCTGGTCTCCTTGATGCCTTCGTGGGTTTTTGTTTGCTGTCCTTGCTAGAACCCATCGGCTTCGTAAAAACAGAAACCAGCAAGCTTTTGGATGAGGCCTGGTGCTGGCCGGACAAGAGCCAGGAGTCGGGGCCAGGGGGCGGCGAATCTGGCATGGTCGGTGGTGCCCCAGCATGCACTTAACCCCACATAAACACCCTAAGCCCCAGACCTTACAAGAATGTCTTCTCAGGTCTCGACACAGTCCGAAAGTGTGGCGAGGCTCATCGACCACATGCTGGACCAGGCTTTCGTGACATTACATGTGCACCACCCATGCATGCAGTCACTAGCAGCGAGCACTGCCCTGCTGCTGTGTTTCGGTGGCAGGACAAGGCTGGTGGCCACGGCAAGTGAGCCGGTGGGCTGCCTGAAATTGGCGCCGGCGGGGCTTGCCTCTCAAAGGGGGTTGGGGAGCCGGTGCTGGTTCCTAAAAAACTGTAGCCTAAGGACTCTGGCAATAGTGGGGCACTGCTGCATAGGCACTGGCACAGTGCTGTATAGGCACTCGCAAAGGCTTCGGAGCACAGTCTTCCCAACCTTTCCGACCTAGGTCCTCGTGTGCTTTTGTGGTGTCCTAGCTGGCTGCACAGCCCGATGTATGGGATCTGACCACAGACCGGTTTTTATTGATTGATAAAACCCGGGACCCTGGACCTAGCCCAGATTTATCGATCGATAAAAATTGTAGCCTAACCCCAGCCCAGGATTTATAGATCAATAAAAATGGTAGGCCCAGGCCTTAGAATACACCAACAGATTTATCAATCTATAAATCTCGGTGCCCTGGACCCATCCCAAATTTATCGATCGATAAAAATGGTGATTCCCAGCTGTAGATCTATTACCTTGTGACCGAAAACCTAAACCCCAACTTCAAATCAAAAAACAACTCCTAAACCGTTGCTCCCAAACCATCAACCCCAATCCCCGAACCCCGAACCATCTGAAACCTTTACCCTGGCAGGCTTCAAAGGGTTTGTGGCAGGGTCTTGGTTCCAAGCAGCAGAGGGTTTCGCCTAGTGGTCGTGTGGGGTCCAGACTTTTCGTGCTTCTGGTTCGTGCACCTGGCGGCCTGGGGGGCTGGGTTTCTGGTTTCACGGGCTTCTGTGTTCAGGAAAATACGATTTGTGCTTGTACATTATATCATCTAAGATGTACGAGGGTATTGCTATATGCATGTATAGCCACACTGTGTATATTTGGGGTATATACCATATACATTGTTTTCGGAGGACGAGGGATCGTGGTTTATGTATATATAGGTCTGTATGTGTGATATGTATGTATGTATATCTAGAATATGGGCATTATATACTCCATGTAGATATGTCTGTGCAGACATATATATATATATATATATATATATATATATTTGTATATGTATGTATGTATGTGTACAACCCATGTAGCTGTACACATATATGCATGTGTCTATATTAGATGTTTCTTATTCTCTTGTGATGTAGAAACTATATGTGACTTTATAGAAGGATTTTCGGACATAGGAAGACGGGCATGTGCATGAGGTACACACACAAACACCGATAGCAGCTTTATATTTCGGGTGCCTGTTGCAACTGCTGCTATACAGGATTGTGCATGCTGCTGCATATTTGGGTTTTCGGACCGCACACTATACTGTAGGAGTGGCTGGGTGTAATCCTGCACCGTTGGCAAGCCATGTACAGCACGGCTCGGGCCTCGCCTGTAGACTACGGGAGCTGGGAATATATATCTCTATATATATATATATATATAGATATTATATATACTTCTATATATTTCTATATATATATATATATATATATATATATATATATATATTCACGTATACATATATATAAGTATTTTGTTGCTCTCCTCCATAGATATCTATAGCTGGCCATATAGCCATATATATATATGTATATTCTTACATCTACTTTAGTATACAGATGCGAGCTCCCATGCCAGGCGCCCTTCTCGAAGTCTCTTGCCTTGTAGTTTGAAGGAAAATGCTGGCGACCGCAGAAGACATAGGGAGGGTCGAGTGCATGTCGCATGCAGTCTGAAGCTTTCTTTGTGTTGCTATGTTCGGTCGATTCCACAGTCTGCCTTCACTGGTGCTTGTGTATATGATGCTACACATTGTATACCTTAATTGGCACTATGTACCGACAGGGGGCATTCGTTTTGATCCAGCCGGTTGGCACTCTGGAGTGCTCGCATGTGTGCTTCTTTGAGTCTGCAGATGACATGGCATGTATATAGATCACACATTCACAATTCGTCTCGCAGGGCTGTAGAAGCTCGCAGGCAGGAACATGCATTGC